TCCTTAAAACTCCCAGATCCCCCCAGCATGAGTTGCTGGCGGGGGAATTCTGGGAATTGAAGTCCACACATCTTAAAGTTGCCAAGGTTGAGAAACACTGCTTTAGGTAACACAAGACCACAGGCCTTCTGGCCCAAGTACAAAATCTAACCCAGAGGAAACCCCAGGATGAGCTCAAAGATGCCAGGAGCAAATAGGAAAAGAATGCATTTTGATTTCAAGGACACTTGTCCAGACTTCACTGCCATAAGCACACACAGGTAGGTGGTATCAACCCTGTAAGGTAGACCAAACCAAAAAACCAATGCCATATTGATCTAAAACTACCTTTATTGAAACAGCTATAGCAAGAGAATCTTGCAAGTCTGAATGTGCGTCCCCCACCCTCACTTTATCCTCCTGTCCTTCAAGGCCATCCCCTATGCGCTCTACAGGTAGTGTGCTCAGCCAAATTGGCTGATCTAAAAAAAAAAAAATTAACAGAGTTGGAACCGATTACTGTTTGATAGGAAACCACTGGGAAACTTAGGACCGAAATCTAGATTGCAAATTAAAAACAACAACAAAACCCCACAAGATTCCAGCCATAATAGTTACCAAAAGATACCAGTACACGTATTATTTCTCCATAAGCCTATTCCAATTCTTAATTTTACCAAGGCTTTACCTAGCTTTACTCTATAAGCAATAATTAAATTTTAATTATTTTAATTAGTTTTAATTATTATTTTTAATCCTAAGTGTTATCCAGCAAGCAATCTCAGCCATCCCATGAACCAGAATGCATCAAGCATAACACTTTACCCCAAGGTCCACACAGAACGTTCATGTAAGGCTGTGCCTAACCCTACCTTGAATGTTTTTAGCCTAAATGTTATCCGGAAGGAATTCCAGCCAGAATGGTGGCCGGAAGGTGTCACTAAGCATAAAATTTCACCCAAAGATAACCCTGATGTTGAACATTACAGTACACTTCAAATATCCTAATCCTAACTTCACCCCAAGGACAGCTGAACTATTTTACCCTAATCATTATCTGCCAAGGAATCTCAACCGTAGCAAGAACATAGCACTAAGCATAAAACTTCACCCAGAAGAAGGCATGACAAACATTTTTGATTTTTTTTTTTTTGCATTGTGATCAAAATCACTGTCTAGAACTGTCCGTGAGCTTCTCTTTTCCCTCCAGGTGAAGAAGCTGAGGATCTGCCTCCATCTTCTCCTGTGATCATCCCAATGGTTGGAGCCCATCTGCAGAAAGGGGGTACTTCCAGGTGGCATCTTTGAATTGCTTGTGCAACGTTGTTGGAGTGGCAAGAAAGGAGTAGGGAACGTGGAGGAAGCAAGAAAGGTCTTAGGACACTTCCGGACATCTGGAGTCGAGTCACTTCAAAGAAGAGTTGTCTTTCTGGCGGGGAGTTGAAAGCTCCCATAACTTCTGTCAGAAAGCACTGGCGCTGGTGGGGTTTCCCAGTCAGAAATGGCCGACATGCGGTTCACAGAAGATTTACTTTGGGCTGCATCCAAACTCACCAGTGGGCAGTATTTTTATCGGGGCCCAAGATGTGTGCAAAATCAAGGGTAAGCTTTGGAGGACTCCAAATCTCTTCCTAGGGGGATGTCTTCAAAAAGCAAGAAGACAATGATAGGCGGAGAAGCAACT